TATGGTAGCAAATCTTTCTCCCATAAACTATGAATATTCGTTACATTTTTAAGACATCCCCCTATAACGGTACCACCATTAGTGTTTTGGTGTTTATGCACGTTTTTAACCAATTATCTGTAATATGATACATTGAGTTCCCATTGGGTAACAAATCTCCTTACCAAAAGTTATCGATATCGATCTACTTCTTTAGGATAGCCTCCATAATCCCCGAAATATTACTGGTATAAATGTTTGGCCCGGTCGAACTTAACGAAGTTTTTACTTGTTATTAGAATCAGATTGTCTTCTAATTTCCCATCCTTGCATTTGTCCCAAAATTTACGTGCATTCTATGTGAAATGTGTACATACAATGATCGAGTGCGCATTCAATAATATACTTTTCAATTATATTTTTGTATTCTCACATAAAATATTTTCAATAAAAAAAAAATATTTTGAAAATTTTCAATAATTGACAAATGAAGGCAAAGGAATGTATGCTACCACTTTTTGACCAAAAGATCTCAAAATAAAAGTACGACATGGTGAAATCAAAACAGCTCGATACTAAATTCGTGGAAATGCAAATATGCTTCATAATATTTTTTTGCAAATTCGCGGTTTTCGATTTTTTCTCACCTTTTAAGCCTGTCCTGGAGCTCCATGAACATTTCAAGACTACGATAAGAAAAATCCGTTCAGCCGTTCTCGAGTTTTAGCGAGACTAACGAACAACAATTCATATTTATATAGAAGAAGATGGAATATTTTGATGTTTCGCGAGTTATGATGTGCCGAACCTCAGCTTCAGGGAATTTATTTATTTTTTTTTTGTTTTTTAATATTCCCATATATCGATTTAAATAGAACTAGACACACGACGTTTTATATAAATTCTGTAGTATGTGCTAAATGTCTTGCCGTAAGAAAGGACGTAAGGCCTTATGCACTTTGTAACCATAAAAATGTACCTCAGCGGAATATATGATTTTGAGCACAACTTACATAGGACCTAATCCGTTTCAAACAATTTGGAGTCGATTTACAAATGTCAGTCTGTCCATAAATTTATCTGATATCTCTCGAAATCTGTCTGATAATTCTAATACCTATACGTAATATACCTTCCAAATTTGGTATCTGACCCACAAAATGGTAAACATTTTGTTAGTAATTAATTTTGTTTTTGCAAAATAGTAAGGTTGGATCCAAACAGTTTGACCGTACCTGCGTCTACAATTTCAGTAGAAGTTTTTTGTAAAAACATTAAACTGGGATTCAGCCTATATATTTTGCGAAAACAAAATACAAATGGTATCCCAAATAACCCGCAGCAGTATCAACTACAACATTGAGTGCATTCGTCACAAAGTGACGACAAATAGCAGTGCGAAATATATTGTAGTTGTCTGCAAATGCCTTGCTGTCCACGAAGTCAGTCACCAACGAAATTCTCATTGAGGTGGTATCGCGGGTAACGTAAGTACTTCGATTTGTTACAAGAGAAATTTTGGGTAAGAAAGATTTTTTGTAAAGAAGCAATAAACAGCTACTGGGGAGAATATCCCAACAAAAAACTAAGCGAACTGATGAGGATCAGTGGCGAGATCCGAAACTATAGTATTCCCTGCCTTACCACTCGGCGGACAATGCCATACATTTCCCATTAATAAGAATTTGTTTTTTATAAAAACATTGCAGAAACAAAATAAAAATGGTATCCCACATAAACCGTCAACAATACTGGAATTAATTTTATAATATAATGCGAACGAAGTACCAGGTTTGAATGAGTTGAACAAGCTAATATTTTAATTAAACCATTATCATTATCGGCAAAGTCCTTCTAGTACCTTCCCACAAAAGTCGAATTTGGTAAATATGCAATTTTCGTATGCGGCGAACGGAATAACCAATTTTACTTTGATTCCACAGCTCGTAACGTCTTTGCAAGACCTCCTTGGTGCTTTTCAAATGCAAACTATGCTAAAGTTCTTGTCTTTTGGAAAATAGCTTTGGATCTTTTGTACACTAATTGCGGGAAGGTGGACCAAATACATCCTTAAATATTTTCAATTTGTTTCTAGTTTCATATTTAGTTTTTCACCGATACATTTAAATTCGTTATTTGCAGTTTTCCGTTTAAAATTAATCTTAAATGTTAAGGCATCGCGCTCCAGTCCCTTTTAAATTTCCATAAATAAGATTTAAACAGAAATCCAAAGTTTCCACTGAAAACACACAAATTTGTTTTAATTGATAGCGGAATGAAATCTGCAATTACCAACGGATTCCATGCTTTAATTAATACTCATTCCAAACTGCTAGTACAACGATTTGGATATTTTACATTTGGCTCACTGAGGACGGAGGATGAAAACGATTTAAGCATTTTTTAAGAAGGATACAAAAACCAAAATCACACAATAAATTTCATTTTTCCGTTAGGCCAAATACTGCTCGATTTTATTTCAATTCCATTCACATTTCAAATGTTCGCAATGAAAATCGGAGTTTATTTAGCGTCGTCGCCACGCCATAGACAAACATCCAAACAGGATATGACAAAAAGTACGTGCTGGCAAGCAACAGAATAGACGCACCATCGATACAAAAACTCAACTCACACAAAATAAACCGATTTCATAGCAGCCATTATCAATGGAAAATTTGGGCTATGGCAGCAGTACTGCAGAGCGAACGAGCTAACGAACGAACGAATAAGGATTAGATCGAGCAAACGAATTTATTTTGAATGTCATACCAACACATCGTTGTCGAAATTGTCGTTTTGTTGAATTTTCAATATTCGCATTGTGCCGTCAAGGGGTTAGACAACGGAAACGGATAATAATAACGTCACAAAGTACTGAAAGTGAAAAATTCTCACGTCGCAGATTTAGGAGGGTACAGCGACCCGGATACAAACATGCAAACATACACACACACAGTCAGACATACTCTGTAACACGCACACCAAAACACATTCATACTAAACACGCTCGCGTAGTAATGGCATCCGTTCCCATTGTGGCTGTTACATCCTTGTGATAATTACATTGCAGATTTTAACGATAATATTTCGTTAAGTTTATGACATTTCCCACCTCTCATCATCTTATTCTCACACTCTCTTTTGGGATCGTTTGAACGCCAGCCGCTTTTTTCCTAAGCATACGCAGATCGTGCGAATTTTAAGGTAAAATTGTTACCATTTAATTTTTATTTAATAAATATTTAGGTATTTGGCTAATTGTCGAATACCAATTAACAAACCAAAAAAACTATTGTGTTTTTACTTATTGGTTTTCCTATTTTCCTTTTTTATTTACATTGACGTAAACATTTGGTCACTTCGAGCCGCGATATTGTGTCGGTGTTGTTGGAGCCTTTGCTTATTGATTTGTTTGCTCTTCTTTACACAGCAAAACAAATCAACGTTACAGTCCATCCATCCATCCATCCATCTCATCCTTTTTTTTTCACTTTTCATCTCATCAAAAAACAGGTACGTAAAGTGTTTTAAGTGAGATAATAAAAAATAACAAAATATAATTACAAAAGTGAAAAAGAAAATAACAACAAATAGTGTTTTGATCTCCCTGTGGCCGTCTTACAACGCGTCGCGTACCCCGCTCACATATCCATCGCCGTGTACGTTTACCACAGACAAACGAAAAAAAAAAAAAAATCATAAAAGTGAAAAAAAAACCAAATAAATTCAAAAGGGATTAAGTGCTTTTATTACAAAAAGTTATATTAATTTGAATTTATTTTCATTAAAAGTGCACAATTTAAAAATATAAATAATTACAAAAAAAATAATTCCCTTAATTTAATTAATTTTGTTTTCAAAAAAAATATAATTATTAATTTAATATTTATTGTGCCAATTTTAAATTTGATTTTCTTTTATTTGTTTTGCAAAAAATCCCTTTTAGTTTGTTTGGTTATTATCCAGTGACAACCAACAGCATTTACATTCTTTCATACATATATTCGCTGACCAACACAATAAATATACATACATACGCTCATACCGTTGAGTCTGTTGGTCGGTCGGTCAGTCGCTTGCGTGCTTGTTGGTTGATACACACACACACTGTATGAGTACATATTAATTGTGTTGCGTATTTCTTTTTTTCGTTTGTTCGTATACCCTGTAGGAACCTTTTGTTACCTACCCTGTAGGAAAAATTTTCCTTAGTACACGAGCATATACTAATATAATATATTGAAATATTTTATAATAAATATTAGTGAGCGTGGTTCGGGTATATTATTTAAATATTTTTGGAAATTAATTAAGCGCGTATACCCTACACTCGGTCAATTAGATTTTTTAATCAATAAAATATTTTTTGACCGTTTTGTATTAAAAAAGATTATTTTAATTAAATTTTTTTGAGAATTTTAAAATTGATTTAATTTGTTATTGTGATTTTTTGGTCACAATCTCCCTACAATCGGTAGTGTGAACCTAATAGAGGTGAATTAAATCATAAAATCTCAGTATTTTCGGTCGAAAATAATATATTTTTTAAAAATAATTTGGATTTTCGCATTTTATGCTAAAAAATTGCGCGTTTTTTATTATTTAAATATATACACGGATATAATTCTGAATTTAATACTAATATTTTGAATTTATTTATATTTTTTTGGATTTTTATTTGGCTTTTTTATATAAAATTATTTGATTTTTATTACTTTTCGATATCTTTTGAACATTTTTAAAGATAAATTCCAGATTTTTCGAAAGCTTTTGGGGTTTAGATAGTAATTGAGAATTCTAAGCCGCTTTCTAGAAAAATTATTTGCTTATTTTTGATTTTCTGGTATTTTCTGACTCTATTGTGAGTTATAAATTTGGAAAAAAGGATCAATTTGAATTCCAATCTACTTGGGGAATTTTGAAATTAACCTATTTCGTAATACTTTTTGCTGCTGTTTCTTTTTGGAACTATTTAGAGTGATTTTTGTGGTTTGTTTGAAATTTTATAATAGTTCAATATGCCAATCACTCCTCTAGATCTATTCATTAGAGCCACAGATGCTGTGGTTAAGTTCGAGGCTCATTATAATGCCCTAGATACTGATGAATTAGATAAATATGACTTAGAGGTTCGTAGTGAGGAAATCCAAAAGTTATGGGCACAGGCATATGATATGTATGGAAAATGCCTGGAGTATTTGATGTCTTCCGTAGAGGCAAAAAAAGAAGATATTGATTCGGTTGATAGTAAGTATGAAGTTTCTTATCAGACTTACTTAAGGTGTTTGTCCGCTATTAAACGAAAGTTGGGGCATATTAAAGCGAATCGGGACACACCATTAAACTCCTCTATTGATAGCTCGGTTGTGTCTTTAGTGCAGCATTCAGTAGCTGGTCAGCTAGATTCTAGAGTGAATTTAAGCTCATCTACTCAGGCTTCTCCTGGAGTAGGTATTCCGGCTGATACATCGGCAAGCGCTACTAGGAGTTTTGTTTTAGATCAAATTCCAAATGATAGCGTTCATAATCTTGCGCTTCCGCCATGTGATACTGACGTTTTTGAAGGTGATTTTCATTCATGGCCCACTTTTCGTGATTTGTTTACAGCCGTTTATATTAATAATTCCCGGCTTAGTGATATCGAACGATTGTGTCATTTGGTTCGAAAGACTAGTGGAGAAGCTCGTGAAATAGTTTCCAAATTTCCATTAACTAATCGTAGTTTTGTTCTCGCGTGGAAATCTTTAAAGGAAACTTATGATAATCCTCGTGTTATTGTACACAGTCAGTTGAAATTGCTTTTTTCTTTGCCCGTCCTTGATAGTGAAACTTGTTCTAATTTGAAATCGCTACAACGTGGCATAAATGGATGTCTGTCGGCAATGTCTACTTATGACATTTCTACTGATAATTGGGATCCTATAATAGTATTTTTGTGTTTGCAACGCCTTCCTAAAATCACACAAACATTATGGGAACAGAGTGTGAAAGATAAATCTTCGTTGTCGTTGTGGAAAGATTTAGATGCGTTTTTGACAGAACGTATTCAAACATTAATGTGTCTACACGATATGCGTGGTAATGACGCGACAAAGCGTACAATTAAAAAGGTACAGTCTCATTTCACTCATGGAGACTCTTCAGCCCATTCTCAGGCAACTCGTCCTAATAATGATATTAATTCGTCGAGAAAAACTGGTTGTTTACTTTGTCGCACTAGTAATCATAGATTGTTTGAATGTTCCCGGTTTAAAAGCTTGTCGTCCTCTGAAAAGTATAAATTTGTGAAACGCAATCGTTTATGCGTGAATTGTCTCCGGAAAGGACACGGAGTAAAAAAGTGTGATAGTAGTCGCCATTGTTCGACATGTAATCAACCTCACCACACTTTATTACACCGTGTAGATTCCAATTCGACTAGTTCTGCTCCGGTGAATTCAGTTTCGACGAATAATAGGCCCGCAAATCCTCCCTCGAATGCAGAGCAAAATTTACCATCCACATCTGCTGGTTGTGTTCCTCGTCAGGTCTTTCATATAGCTCAAAATAGATCTGTCTTGTTAGGAACAGCCATGGTAAATATACTTCACTTAGGTGTTCCCTATTTAGTTAGAGCTTTGATAGATCCAGCATCTGAGTCCTCATTCTTATCTGAGCGACTCCAAAACCGTCTCAAACTACCTGTGCATTCCACTAACGCTACTATCTCAGGAGTAAATTGTACTGTTTCCGCAACTTCTCGTAAATCATGTTCCTTGAGAATTGGAAGTCCTGTTGATAGCTGTGTTGTTTTAGAAACTATTGCATTTGTTTTGCCTTCTATTTCGGGAAATATTCCATCATTTGCAGTGAGTTCGGACTTAAAATCGCAAATACCTGATCTACAGTTGGCCGATTTTAATTTATTTGATCCGCGTCCTGTAGATCTCTTATTAGGCGCTGACCTCTATCCGAAGATTTTATTAGCTGGTTGTCGATCCTTATTGTCTGGTAGTTTGCTTGCCCAGAACTCCATTTTTGGTTGGTTAGTTACTGGGCCCGTTCCCACAACTGAAGTTCGAACATTTGCTACCCAAATCGATATAGCAGAAGAAGACTCGTTAAATAAAACTTTGTTGCGTTTTTGGGAGTTAGAGGAACCTCCGAAACAAAAATTTTTGTCCCCTTCTGATCGTTTTTGCGAAGATAATTATAAGAAAACAACGCGTCGATTGTCGGACGGTAGATATATTGTAACACTACCAATAAAACCTGACATTAATTGTTTTGATTATTTGGGAAAGTCACGTGAAACTGTTTTGAAACAATACTTTAGGAATGAGTCGTCTTTGTTAAAAAAATCGGATGTTAAAGTTACTTATGACGCGGTTTTACAAGAATATTTAGATCTTGGTCACATGAAATTAGTATCTCCCAGTTCCTCTACTAATTCTTTATCGTGCTATTTGCCACACCACCCCGTCATAAATCCCGATAAACAAACTACCAAACTTCGAGTAGTTTTCAACGCTTCCTTCAAAACCTCTAATGGTAATAGTCTGAACGATTTGCTCTATGTAGGTCCCACTTTGCAACTTGATCTAGTGTTGTTGATTCTTCGGTGGAGAGTATTTAAATTTGTGTTTAATTCCGACATCACACAAATGTATAGGCAAATTCGTGTCGATCAAAAGCATACTTCGCTTCAAAGAATTCTTTTCCGTGACTCCCCTTCCAAACCGGTTTCCGACTTTGAATTACAAACGGTGACTTTCGGTGTAAATTGTGCACCATATTTAGCAATTAGAACGCTACTGCAACTCGCAGAAGACACCGAAGCTGATTTTCCTCTCGCTGCGCACATTTTGCGCAAATGTATGTACGTTGATGATGTACTGGCGGGAGCACACGATCTGGAGACAGCTTTAGCTTCTAGAAATCAATTAATTTCCGCACTCTCTTCAGCAAAATTCGAACTTCGGAAGTGGACAGCCAATAATATATCGCTTTTAGATGGAATCTCTCCTGTTAACCTATTAGATGAGAAAATATTATCTTTTGTAGAATCTAGCAGTTCTAAGCCGCTAGGGATAAGGTGGAATGCACAATTGGATACATTTTACTTCGAGGTAGCTCCAATTGCGGAAAAATCTACTTATACTAAACGGGAAGTTCTTTCAGCCATTGCAAAATTGTTTGATCCCGTGGGCTGGTTAGGACCAGTTATTATTGTTGCAAAAATGGTTATGCAAAAGGTGTGGTTGGACAACATTGGATGGGATGATTCCCTTTTACCAGCCACAGAAGCCGATTGGCGTAGATTCGTCTCTTCATATACAGACGTTAATTCAGTTAGAATTCCGAGATGGGTTCAGTATACTCCTAATTCTTCTGCTGAACTGCATGTTTTCTCTGATGCCTCGGAAAAAGCATACGCGGGGGTAGTTTATATTCGCGTCGAAACCCCTAGTGGAAATATTGTTGTCAATTTACTATCGTGTAAAACTAGGGTGGCCCCCATAAAATCAATTTCTCTACCGCGTTTAGAATTATGTGGTGCTGTTTTGGCCTCTGAGCTTCTAAAGACTATAGTTCGTGAAATTGATATAGAGTTTCGTCAAGTTTATTGTTGGACAGACTCAACTATAGTTCTCTCCTGGCTTCGGAAAACACCCTCCACTTGGACTACGTTTGTGGCTAATAGGGTTTGCAGAATTCAAGAAAATGTAGGTAACCATAATTGGTACCATGTAAAATCTGAAGATAATCCTGCTGATTTGGGAAGTCGGGGGTTATCTCCTTTAGAATTAGCCAATTCTTCTCTTTGGTGGCATGGACCACGTTGGCTTACTGACCCTAAATCTAAATGGTCAATCCGTGATCTGTCATCTCTTGAAACGGATACGGAAATGCGTTCTGTAAAATGTCACGCAAACTTTTTCAACAGCTACGAGGACGTTCTTACCAGGTTCTCATGTTTAGGTAGAGCCCTTCGTGTAATTTCGTACATATTTAGATTCTTCCATCGGACTCATCCAGCGCATAGGGCAAACTTTGATCATGTCGACAAAATAGTTACTTCTTCTGAAATAAATATCGTCCGCATTCGATTAATTATTCTAGCACAAAAGGTGCATTATGCGGACGAATATAGGGATTTATTGGAAAAAAATCCGCTAAATGGTAAAAGTGTTTTGGTACCTTTGACCCCCTTTTTGGACGACATGGGTGTAGTTCGAATGAATGGAAGATTAGTTAATTCACCTGCTCTAGCGTATACGGAAAGACATCCTATTATATTGCCCTATAATTGTAGATTTGTGAAACTTTTAGTGGAATTTGTCCACAAGATTTCCATTCATGGAGGAAATCAGTTGATGTTGAGGATTCTTAGAATTGAATATTGGGTCCCTCGACTAAAAAGTTTGATTCGGTCGATAATAAATCGATGCAAAATTTGTATTTTAGAGAAGAAGCGTTCTAGGAGTCAAATTATGGCTGCGCTTCCTCGTGAAAGAACCATGTTCAGCCGGCCTTTTACTACCACTGGGGTAGATTTCGCTGGGCCGTTCGAGATTAAATCGTTTACTGGTCGCGCCTGTAAAATTACTAAGGGATACGTCTGCGTTTTCGTATGTTTTTCGACGAAAGCAATTCACTTGGAGGCGGTATCCGATTTGTCGACATCGAATTTCTTGGCCGCATTTCATAGGTTTGTTGGTCGTCGTGGTTGCCCACGGTCCGTTTTTTCGGACAATGGTACTAATTTTGTAGGGGCTTCCAGAGAAATAGAAAGAAATTTTATGTCGTTTTTGCGAGAATGTTCCGGAACTGTTTCATCTAACTATGCAGTTCAAGGCCTATCGTGGCAGTTCATTCCAGCTGGCGCTCCACATATGGGTGGACTATGGGAAGCTGGGGTGAAGAGTTTTAAATTACATTTTCGAAAGCAGGCTCGTAATATGAAATATACCTTTGAAGAATTAGCTACCGTGTTGGCTAGAATCGAGGCTTGTTTAAATTCTCGACCGCTTTGTCCTATGTCAGATAGTTCTACTGACATTGTCGCTTTGACTCCGGGTCATTTCTTGATTGGTGGTCCACTACTCGCTCCTCCAGAGCCCTTAATTACTGAACAGCCCTTGTCTATAGTGAACAGGTTTCGAAAAGTTCAGGCTCTAGTTCATCATTTTTGTTTGAGATGGAAGGAGGAGTATTTGAAAACTCTCCACATGCGGTATAAATGGAAATTTCCGCAGAGAAATATTCAAAATAATGATATCGTCGTGATTAGACACGAAACACTTCCCCCGACGTCGTGGAAACTAGGTAGGGTCGAAAAAGTAATTCCCGGTCCCGATGGACATGTTCGCGTCGCCGACGTTCGTATAGAAAATGGTGTTGTAAGGCGGCCTATAACAAAATTGGTCGTTTTGACCGAATAAATTTCCATATTTTTTAACCTACCTTTCCCCATAGTAACATGGATAAAATTACATTTTTCGCTGATGATGGACTTGAGGACTACGACGAATTGTTGGAGGAGATCGATAGAGCTACAGGTTCCTCTGCCACGGTAACTACTGCCACCACTGATTCCCCGATTATAGTTCAGGAAGCTATGGACACCTCTGAAAACGATGCAGTTCCTCTATCTCCGGTACCGGTACCTACGGCCACCAAATCGATAGATGCTCCTGCTGTCACTAACGCGGCACTGGTTGCATCTGATCCAGTGATTTATCGCTGCAAATTGTGCGACGGCAGACATCCACTTCGCTTTTGCGACAAATTTTTAGATCTGCCTATGGATAAGCGACACAGGGCAGTCGTACTGCATGGTTACTGCATACGATGTCTGGCACGGTCCCACCTGGCGAAAGATTGCCGCAGTCGAAGCACTTGTCGTATGTGCAATGAACAACATCATACGTTGCTTCATGATGGTCCGAAGTCCTTTCCCAAAAAGTCCGTATCTCGTCCTGCTCGTAAGCATCGTCCGTATCAGAAGCCCAGGGTCCGTCCGCATGATCGGTCCGAATCCCGTCCGTCTGATGAATTTAGTCCGTCTACAAATTACGATGCCTCTTCCCTAGGGGGACTGCCACTTGTTGGTGTGGTTTCGCTCTCCCCAAGTTTTGTCGTTCGCTTAGTAAGTTCTAAGTCGTCCATCCCAGTCCGCGGAATGATCAACCAATGTGTCAGACAGAGTCAAATATGTACATCCTTGGTACATAGTCTGCGACTGCCCTGTTCGAAAGTGGATGGTATTTCGTTTTGCCGGTTTACCATTCACTCTACCTATGATTCCGCACAATCCGTCGCAGTGACAGCTCGAGTGTGTGACATGGCACAGGTTTACACCCCTCCTGAAGCGGTACCGGAGAGAATTAAGGATTCCTATCTTGGTCTCCCTCTAGCGGATCCTCAACTTTAAAAAGTTGGACGGGTGGCTTTAATATTGGGTCCGGAGCTGTATTCGAAAATTATGACCAGCCGTGTCCAGACCTTCCCCGGATTACCGATGGCTCAGTACTCCATATTTGGATGGGTACTATCTGGGGTGTGCAGTACCTAAAAAGGATCCCTAATGATCCTATATAGCCGCGGGGTCCCTAATGGCCCGATCGTCCGCGGGGTCCCTAATGGCCCGATCGTTTCGCGGGGTCCCTAATGGCCCGATCGTTGCCAAAAATATATTTATCGCGGGGTCCCTAATGGCCCGATCGTCCGCGGGGTCCCTAATGGCTTATACGTCTTAGATTTAGGGAACCATTGAAAAAATTAAATACAAAAAGAGAAAGAAAATAATACATAAAATGAATTAAAAAAAAATTATATGATGATACTTATATTATAAATGTATTTTTTCGGTTTCAACATTCCAACAATGTTGAAAGGTGGGCGCCAAATGTTTAAGTAAGACATTAATTTTGTTAAAAATATAGGTCAACCTATTGTGACCTATATTATCGTTAAAATCTGCCCACTTCGTAATATTACATCCTTGTGATAATTGCATTGCTGATTTTAACGATAATTTTTCGTTAAGTTTATGACATTTCCCACCTCTCACCATCTTATTATTCTCACTCTCTTTTGGGATCGTTGAACGCTAGAAGCTTTTTCCTAAGCATACGCAGATCGTGCGAATTTTAAGGTAAAATTGTTACCATTTAATTTTTATTTAATAAATATTTAGGTATTTGGCTCATTGTCGAATACCAATTAACAAACCAAAAAAACTATTGTGTTTTTACTTATTGGTTTTCCTATTTTTTTTTTATTTACATTGACGTAAACATGAGGTATAACGTACTGAATTGAGCCTAGAATGCTGTCTGCCAACTTTCGAGAAAATCGGTCCAGATTTAGATATAGCTCCCATATATAGTTTCGTCCGATTTCATGTAAATGTTGCACCAAAGTCTCTATATATCTTTCGATTTGGACGAAATTTTAGTACAGCCTAATCACTTAGGTCTAGAATGATGTCTGCCAAGTTTCGAGAAAATCGGTCCAGATTTAGAAATAGCTCTTGTATATAGTTTCGTCCGATTTCATGTAAATGGTGCCCAAAGTCCCTATATATCTTTTGATTTGCACGAAATTTAGCATAACGTACTGAATTAAGCCTAGAGTGATGTCTGCCAAGTTTCGAGAAAATCGGTCCAGATTTAGATATAGCTCCCATATATAGTTTCGTCCGATTTCATGCAAATGGTGCCCCCTATATATCTTTCGACTTGCACGAAATTTGGTACAGCCTAATCATTTAGGTCTAGAATGATGTCTGCCAAGTTTCGTGAAAATCGGTCCAGATTTAGATAGATATAGGCCTTTTTATTATAGATTGATTTTAAGTAATTGACGCACCATATATATTTTCGCCCGATTTCAAGTAAATTGGGTATCAAACTCCTCATGTTAGTCAGATTGGCATCAAAGTTTGCACATCGTACAAAATTGAGCATAAAATTTTATAGTTGCGTTTTCTAGAATTACAGACATAGCCCAACGGATGACCTATTTATACTTGTTTGAAGTCGATTTACATACTTTATGGATAGATCTAGGTAGATTCACATTTAGATAAATATCACATATTTTGTTTCATCCAATTTCATGCAAATAGTCCTGTTTAATATGCCCATAGTGGTGAAGGGTATCATATAGTCGGCCCGTCCGACTTTACTACTTTCCTTACTGGTTGTTTGTATGTTAGTTTGATCAGTGTTAGCTATAATTTTTTACAGTCGATTTTTGAGTACATTTGTGGTAACATAGGGTACTTAACTTTTTGATGGGAGCAGAGGAAACAGTAGCCCCCATACTAATTGCCCCTTTTTATACCCTTCACCACACGGTGGTACAGGGTATTATGTCTTTGTGCATATGTTTGTAACAGGCAAAAATAATCGAGATAGACCCACGGTTCCTTTTGAGAATATACCTAGAATCACTTTCTAAGTCGATTTATGCATGTCCGTCCGTCTGTCTGTCCATGTTAAATTGTAAACAAAGTACAGGTCGCATTTATGATCCGAATTGGATGAAATTTGGCATAGGTCACTTATTCGGCCCAAGGACGAACCCTATTGAAATTGGGAAAAATCGGTTCAGATTTAGATATAGCTCCCATATATATATTTAACCGATTTAATGTAAACGGTCCCTATATATCTTTCGATTTGCACGAAATTTGGTACAGCCTAATCATTTAGGTCTAGAATGGCGTCTGCCAAATTTCGTAAAAATCGGTCCAGATTTAGATATAGCTCCCATATATAGTTTCGTCCGATTTCATGTAAATGGTGCCCCAAAGTCCCTATATATCCTTCGATTTGCACGAAATTTGGTATAACGTACTGAATTGAGCCTAGAATGCTGTCTGCCAACTTTCGGTCCAGATTTAGATATAGCTCCCATATATAGTTTCGTCCGATTTCAGGTAAATGGTGCCCCAAAGTCCCTATATATCTTTCGATTTGCACGAAATTTGGCATAACGTACTGAACTGCGCCTAGAATGATGTCTGCCAACTTTCGAGAAAATCGGTCCAGATTTAGATATAGCTCCCATATATAGTTCCGTCCGATTTCATGTAAATGGTGCACCAAAGTCTCTATATATCTTTCGATTTGGACGAAATTTTGGTACAGCCTAATCACTTAGGTCTAGAATGATGTCTGCCAAGTTTCGAGAAAATCGGTCCAGATTTAGAAATAGCTCTTGTATATAGTTTTGTCCCATTTCATGTAAATGGTTCCCAAAGTCCCTATATATCTTTTGATTTGCACGAAATTTAGCATAACGTACTGAATTAAGCCTAGAGTGATGTCTGCCAAGTTTCGAGAAAATCGGTCCAGATTTAGATATAGCTCCCATGTATAGTTTCGTCCGATTTCATGTAAATGGTGCCCCAAAGTCCCTATATATCCTTCGATTTGCACGAAATTTGGTATAACGTACTGAATTGAGCCTAGAATGATGTCTGCCAACTTTCGAGAAAATCGGTCCAGATTTAGATATAGCTCCCATATATAGTTTCGTCCGATTTCAGGTAAATGGTGCCCCAAAGTCCCTATATATCCTTCGATTTGCACGAAATTTGGCATAACGTACTGAATTGAGCCTAGAATGATGTCTGCCAACTTTCGAGAAAATCGGTCCAGATTTAGATATAGCTCCCATATATAGTTTCGTCCGATTTCATGTAAATGGTGCACCAAAGTCTCTATATATCTTTCGATTTGGACGAAATTTTAGTACAGCCTAATCACTTAGGTCTAGAATGATGTCTGCCAAGTTTCGAGAAAATCGGTCCAGATTTAGAAATAGCTCTTGTATATAGTTTCGTCCGATTTCATGTAAATGGTGCCCAAAGTCCCTATATATCTTTTGATTTGCACGAAATTTAGCATAACGTACTGAATTAAGCCTAGAGTGATGTCTGTCAAGTTTCGAGAAAATCGGTCCAGATTTAGATATAGCTCCCATATATAGTTTCGTCCGATTTCATGCAAATGGTGCCCCCTATATATCTTTCGACTTGCACGAAATTTGGTACAGCCTAATCATTTAGGTCTAGAATGATGTCTGCCAAGTTTCGTGAAAATCGGTCCAGATTTAGATAGATATAGGCCTTTTTATTATAGATTGATTTTAAGTAATTGACGCACCATATATATTTTCGCCCGATTTCAAGTAAATTGGGTATCAAACTCCTCATGTTAGTCAGATTGGCATCAAAGTTTGCACATCGTACAAAATTGAGCATAAAATTTTATAGTTGCGTTTTCTAGAATTACAGACATAGCCCAACGGATGACCTATTTATATTTGTTTGAAGTCGATTTACATACTTTATGGATAGATCTAGGTAGATTCACATTTAGATAAATATCACATATTTTGTTTCATCCAATTTCATGCAAATAGTCCTGTTTAATATGCCCATAGTGGTGAAGGGTATCATATAGTCGGCCCGTCCGACTTTACTACTTTCCTTACTGGTTGTTTGTATGTTAGTTTGATCAGTGTTAGCTATAATTTTTTACAGTCGATTTTTGAGTACATTTGTGGTAACATAGGGTACTTAACTTTTTGATGGGAGCAGAGGAAACAGTAGCCCCCATACTAATTGCCCCTTTTTATACCCTTCACCACACGGTGGTACAGGGTATTATGTCTTTGTGCATATGTTTGTAACAGGCAAAAATAATCGAGATAGACCCACGGTTCCTTTTGAGAATATACCTACAATCACTTTCTAAGTCGATTTATGCATGTCCGTCCGTCTGTCTGTCCATGTTAAATTGTAAACAAAGTACAGGTCGCATTTATGATCCGAATTGGATGAAATTTGGCATAGGTCACTTATTCGGCCCAAGGACGAACCCTATTGAAATTGGGAAAAATCGGTTCAGATTTAGATATAGCTCCCATATATATATTTAACCGATTTAATGTAAACGGTCCCTATATA